CAAGAGAAAGACAGTCTGACTAACCTTATCAAATATCGGGAATTCTGCTTTAAACCTCGTGCAAGCGAACTGCTTAATCTCTGGATTAGATCCAGGCTCCTGCCCCCCAAACTGATTGCAAGGGAACGCCAGAATTTCAAATCCTGCAACACGATTAGAAAAGGTGGATGGGTTCTGTCCACGTAAAAGTAATTTCAATCACCTCATTTCAGCAATAATTTTGCCACTCAGACAACGAATAAAGTTTCTTGCTCCCAACAACGCCTTTGAATGAATCACTTGCTTTGCATGAAAATGGTAGTGAACCAAACTATCCCTTAACATTCTGTGGCCCATTATCTTTCCTCGGCCCATCATATTTCTGACTAATTATACTAGATATGCTTCCCAATCTCTCACACACGCTCGCGCCCTAGATACAGAGAATGAAGGTAGACAACGTAGGCCGAATGTAGGCCCTGTCAGCCTACATTATTGGACAAATAGATTTACATGATAATCTTGTCAGCCCAGTATTTTAGGATACTAGAAATGTTCACCAATTCTCCACACACACAGACACACAGAGATGTGCACAAGTTCTTCATTTTCAACTTGGAAAGTTGATGGGATAAGTCCATTTATTTTCAAAATGATTTGTATTATTAACAATGAAAAAGCACTGACAAATTAGTCGGTGACAACCATGAGTATGCCACCTCTGCAATATACTAGAAGACATTGTTACCTATCAGTAGAGTCATTAGACTAGTACCTACAACAATAGAAATAAAAAAAACTGAAAACAAAAACAAAAAGGAAATACCTCTTCTTCTTTTTTGCTAGGCAAAGGAAATACCTATTATTCAAGTATTTTAACAACCTAACCCACATGGTTATATTTGAGTTCACCTCTCATGATTTGTCTAGTGCATCCACCTCTTCTTCCCTTTATTTATTGTTGCCAAATAAACAAACGATGTAACTTGCTACCACTCCAATTAGTGGAATTCACCAAGAAACTCAAGATAGAGACAAAGACCCAATTCCAACTGAGCAAATATCATTACTCATCTAGTATGCAAATGACTTTGATGAGTCGTAAGAAGTCAATAGGCGGCAAGTATTTTGGCTTCTCCGTACATAAGGAAACTTCACAGTAACAGTTAAGATCAGGTGTGAAGAAAATAGATAAAGCAGGAGGGCTAAAAGCTACCACCAGTAAAATAGGTCCAACCACAGATCATAAGGAGCTGTTTGCATGACTTATTGAAGTTTTGAATACAATAATAATCATCAAGACTGACTTAGTCTAAGCGTGAAACATGGAGGGAATCAGGAATTATGTCATTTGTTAGGCTGCAATTGTACATGATTACAAATCGATTACCAGGAAGCTATACAATTACTATGCTAGTAATAATTAAGTATTAAGAAACACACTTTGGTACCAGCATTTTTAAGAAGTTTAAGCTTGTTTTCCATTACCAAACTATGTTGAGCATCGCCAAACTGTAAGCATTAGAGGTACCAGTAGTGCGCTTGAAGAAAGTGTGATGATCCAAGACCAGGAGATACCAAAGAGTGATCATTTTAGGTATTTAGGCTCAATTATTAGTAGCAATGGAGAGATTGGAGATGATGTGGCCCATAGGATCCAAGTGGGGTGGCTCAAGTGGAGAAGCGCTGCTGGTGTACTATGTGACAGGAGGGTACCCACAAAATTGAAGGGAAAATTCTATGGAACGGCCATAAGACCAGCGATACTTTATGGGACAGAATGTTGGCCTATTAAGAAACAACATGTGAGCAAAATGAGTGTAGCGGAAATGAGAATGCTGAGGTGGATGTGTGGTAAGACTAGACGAGACAAGATTAGAAATGAAACAGTTCGTGAGATAGTAGGTGTAGCACCTATAGAGGAGAAGTTGAGGGAAAATAGGCTAAGGTGGTTTGGGCATATCTACCGTAGACCGGAAGATGCAGTAGTTAAGAGAGTGGATAGGATAGCTCTAGGTAGCAATGTTACGGGGAGGGGTAGACCTAAATTGACATTAGATGCTGTAGTACGCAAAGACATGAGTCTAATAGGTCTATGTAAACAAGTAGCTCTTGACAGAGCTCAATGGAGGAAACGGATTCATGTAGCCGACCCCAAGTGATTGGGACGTAAGGCTCGGTTTGGTTTGGTTTAGGGATTACATCTGCATGTTAGCTAGCGAAGTATAGGATTCTCATAGTAAATTACAAGTACAACAATGTTGCAAAATCTAGAGTATTCGGATATACTAGCATTGCATCTCAATGTATACAATTGGACAGTTAAGGCCTAAGAGCATCGAGATGGAAGCAAAAATATAACAAATTCAAATATTCAATGGATTGTTGGAGTGTGAACGTAAACACATGCTCCAAGAATGCCACAAATACGGTGATTTAGAGTTTGATTTGAGTTTCTTCAAATAGAGCTCCTTTTGGATGTGGATTTAACCTGATTTCTATTTTGGCTTCGAGTCAAATAATACAGGTCTGTTGAAGCAACTGCAGTTGTAACTTGTAAATGAAGACAAATAGAAGAGGAAAAAAATTCTTCACACTTTTTAAGTCTTTGCTTATGAAACTGACTTTAACAAAAATATGATGAGATTAAAATGCTATACAAGTCACAAAATAAAGCTCACCTTGAGTTTTGTACTTCTCATAAATGTGAGAGAGTTCAGAATAATTTGATGATGTCAAACCACTGAATCCATGGCCAAATTCTTCAGTCAGATCGGAGGCATACAAAACTCAAAATCGATAGGATTAAAAGAACATTAACAGATACAAAGTCAATACTAAAAATGAAACAGCAGGGAATAATCTCAGATTAGTTATTTGTAACAAACACAACAGAATAATCATAGAGGAAAGAATACCATTTTGAAGCAACATTGACAATCAACAGAACCTTTCCCTTAAATTTGTCGAGAGAAACATCATTCCGATCAATATCCTGCACCCGAAACCACCACAAGTTTTTTTCATTTTACAATTGGATGCCTAAGATTGATCATCTAAACGACAATCAAAGAGAAGCAAATTCCAAGGCTCGTCAACTATCCAACCTGATATCAAATAATAGTATTCCTAATACAAACGACAAGACTGTCTGAACAACTGCAAAATCAGATTAGGCCCCAGATTGAACAAGAACACCTAACAAAAATTGTCTGCCCTCCGTATGTAGCAGTTGATACCCTAATAAGATTTCAGACACACATCAGCATGGGAATTGGACAAACACGTGTTCTCTCAACGGTCCACAACTTGCTGAGGACATGTTTGATTGGACAGACTAATAGGGGGATACGTAATCCAATTGGAGGATTAATTCCCACCATACTACTCGTAAGGCATAACAAACGGTATTGGTCGTACAACAGATGCATAATAAGAATTGTATGCCCTATTTATGTTGCATTCTAATGCCAGAAAAACGATTCCATGGTATTTGGAAGGTTGCCCCAACAAGTTTCCCAAAAAGATTATTTGAAACCCTTATTTTCCCACAAAATGCTGCATTTAAACAATTTTTTCCCGATAACAGTCTGTCAAAGGAGGGCCCAATGGAAAGAGAATTACATTTTTTATGCAGCATATACTCCCTCTTTTTTCTTTTTACCCTTCTTCTATTCCATCAAACTGGAGGGACAATCATAAATTCACACAACTTTTTAACAACACAGCTACATGAGCCAACCCCACAAATTGCAATTTATACTCTAAAGAGCAAACCAAAAAAAGGCATCACATACAACATAGATTTCTTTCACTTTGGGTCACAAACATGTACCTTGACTGTGTAATCATAAATTGTCTTCTCCGTGGCCGCTCTAGCATGAACGGTGAAAGATCGCGGTTTCAACATAAACCCAGACAGATTTGAGGATTTAAGAGGCAACCCATGTTGGAAAAAGGCTGATTTAGAGGACCCAATTGAGGATTTGTTAAATGGAGAGAGGGAAGCCAAGCGAGAAGAACAAACCCATGAAGGATTTGGGATTGGTCTTGGTTTGGTTCGGGTGAAACCATGTAGAGGTGCAGAGAAAACTGAAGAGGAAGCCATTGAAGCCATGTTGGTCTTGAATTAAGGGTTGGATTAGGGCCTGAAACTGGAAAGAGTGAACTAGTAGGTAGTGAAGTCCTTGCAGAATTGTGTGAAATGTGTTGATGGTGCAGAATGGGCTTTCGGAGAGACAACCACGTGGTCCTATTTCATTAGCTTGTTATTCCTTCCAGATGGTGCAGAATTGTCTTTCAGAGAGACAACCACGTGGTCCTTTTTCATTAGCGTGTTCTTCCTTCAAGAAAATCTAGAGGAATTTTTGTTTTTGTTTTTTCCTCTATTTTCGCATTGATGCAATGAGCCCAACCATGAACGCCATGGGTAAGTCAGATTGCGTTAGACCCATTTCCGGGTATCACACTAATGATCATAACCGTTTAATTTGTTTAATATATTTTTTCTTTTTTAAAATAAATGTTCGATTTGCAAACTTAGGCATTTAATAAATTGCATTTTTTGTTTAAAATTTTTAAATTTCTTCATAACTTAAAAAAAACTCATTGATATCTATTAATTTGTGACGAAAAAAATAATTTTTTTATGAAAGAAATGCATCTTTTTGAAATGCTTAGATTTGCAGGCAAGGCACTTATTTAGGGACGGATGAAGTATTATTTTAAAGGCTCTGTAAAAAAAAATTAACTAATTAGTACATCAGTAAAGACTTGATCGATATTCGTTTCTTAAGTATTTTGTGAAAAAAGAAAATAAATTCTAGGAGTCATACACCGCTGATGTACATGATAACATGAAAAAGTTATCACCAATGTTTTTTTCCGTCCTCGTGCATCGAACCGGCAAGTTACTAGTTTTTTTTTCACCGAAAATAAAAGATAAAAATTTGCTTACGACTAAAAATTTCTATCTCCGAAATAAGAAAGAAGCAATTATGAATGTTTGATATTGAAAGGGGGAGGATGTAGCCAAGTGGTTAAGGCAGTGAATTGTGAATTTATCATGCACGGGTTCGACCCCGTTGATCGCTGAAAGAAATAAGGACAATCCATTTTCTTACGAAGGCGGGGGACCTGCTGTCCCAGCTGAGCGGAGCTCGCTCCAATGATCGAAAAGGTTCACTTCGTAGAGCTCGTCGAGTAAAACAAGTGTACCAAAAATTAGCACGATTGGATATAATTAAGTGTCTGATCGGAACACATATAACTTGCCAATAATGGGTTCCCGTGGATTTGATCCAGTGTTTCGGATCCATTCTTTTCAAGATAAAACTGTTTCGATAAGGCTCTTAATAATATCCTTTCAAGCTGATTTTTGATACACTTGTTTTACTCGACGAGCTTATAAAGTGAACATTTTCAATCATCAAAGTGAGACCAAAGCAGACCCCATTCGACCGGAACAGCAGGCTGCCGCCCCTTAAAGCGACAGCAGCTCCCCCGCCTCCTTTTCTTACCTATGAGTTTTCATCTCAATTTTCATTCTAGTTCTTACTTAGTATATCAGTATCTATTTTGTTTATCCATGGAAGACCCTGGCTGAAAACAGATATATAGATATATATATAGCCTATAAATATAACAAATAAGTTGCAAGAAAGAGCTTGTACAAGTCTTGGGCTAACCCAGAAGGGCTCATCTTGTTTGATGGGCTTATTCAAGATGGCCGATTTTCACAGGCTTATTTTATATGAGAAAATGACAGGCCCGATCCTACTTTTGAAATCTATTGCCCACCAAGTCTTTGCCTTCTGCCACTTTCTTTTTAAACTTTTGTTTTTTACGAAGAATATAATTTCAAGCTCGAATATAATAAAAATAAAAAATAATTTTTTAATTTTTTTATACCGTTTAAAAGATCTCAATGAAATCTATCAAACAAGATTCATATTGGTAGAAAAATTATTTGTGTAAATACAAGATTTTTAGCTTGAAATTGCCTTTCTTTTCTAAAAGTTTTTTTTCTAAGAAACCAAAACAGTACTTAAGTGCATGTATATGGTTCAATGCATGTACATGGTTTGGTACATGACGCAGCTCAAAAGTCATTTGTCAAGTTCAAGAGAGCGAACAGAAAAATATTATGAAATAAAGTTACGGCCTTATTCGTTTGGTAACTTTGGGTATTTCAATTTTGATACTGGGTGGAAAGAAAAATAGAATAATGATTGGAGAGATGGGTAATGAGTGAAAAGAGATAGAGAGAGAAATGAAATTAATAATTAAAGAAGTAGGATAATGATTGAAGAAAGATATAAGTTAATGATCGAAAAATAAAGTTAAAACAAAGTAAAATTTGGAAACGAACAAGGCCAGTTTTCTCTTAATGTATCAGTGTACGTAACTTGTAAAATAATCTACTTGTTCTAAGATGTAGATCTTTAACGGTCTTGGATGTGCAACCTAGCTAGGGTTCTAATTGCATTATTTGATCGAGAGCGTGTTTCTGTCCTGTCATTCTTCTTTTTTGAAACATGAACGAGAAGTATATATAATTTTGAGGATATAATTGAAAAGTCGTATATTTGGATTCCAATCCAATCATGTGTTCTTCACATGCTTCAGGAACTTCATGATTATTATTTGTTTGCATTTTAAGACAATATTTTAAAAGTGTCAATCTAGGATGTACCAAGATATTGATCTAATTTGGCAAATGGGATAGAAATGCATGTTCAAATTATGACGAACAACCTCTTTAAATTAAGAAGCATTATTCTGGTAATTGGTTTTAAATAAAAAAACAGACCCTTGATTGTCATGGCACAAATAGGGCATACTAGCAAGTAACGGACTTACTCTTTCAAACTTGTAAATTCGACATCGAATCGTCAGCAAAACATCATTGGGGTCACTGTACGTAGTTCGACTTCCATCTGTCAATGACAGTAGAGTGAGGAGTTTACAGTCCGAAGCTCGAAAAAATTTGACTACCAATCACCGCCAAAAAACTCTCGGAGTAATGGAGATTTACTGGGTCATTAATTTTTTTTAATGTTTTGTTAGATGATCTGATGTTAGCAGGTTAAATTTCGGGCATACAACATTTTCCCTCTCTATCTCTCTAGACTTTCTTTAGCCCTCCCCTCTAACTTTCTTTAGTACGGTTTGTCCAACATGGACAGTGACAGAGTCAGAATTTTCGATAAATGGGATCAAAAATTTAAACTATGTGTAATAATTGCTAATTGAAAGAACATATCAACATATAATAATCAATATATGCAGAATTTGATCCACCTTCCACAAACAACTTTAAAACTACAGCCTACAGTGACTTTTATAACTAATTTTTTAGTCGTTCGGTTGTTTCCAACTTAAAAAAAAAAAAAAACATGCAGAGTATACTAATACTAATATATTATATGACATACTTTCTAGAACCACTAAATTACTCGCTTAATTAGCCACACAAACAAGTCCACAAAACTTAATCACTTTACAAAAGCACTATTTTAATCACATATACTTTTGAAACAACAAAAGCACTAATCCCAGTGACAATTAATTATCACATTATTCACATGACTAGAAAAACACTGATTAGCAACTAGAACTACAATTAGGGAAAAACTTGCCTACATGGTTACACCTTCGATTTCACCAAGACAAGCGACTTAGGGTTTCCACAATCTCTTCTCCTAAATTATCTGGATGTTCCAAGTCTCTACCAATTTTTATCATTCTAAGTATTTCATTTTGTGAATCCATAAAAAAGAGAGAAAAACAATTTCTTTGTTCGTCAGAGGATTTGTGTTTTACTTTTCTGCGATGGAAAAGATAACGGCCATGTTCGTTTAGCACATTTAGGTATTTTAGTTTTGGTAGTGAGTGGAGAGAGAAATAGGGTAATGATTGGAGAGATAGGTAATAAGTGGAGAGAGATAGAGAGAGAAATGAAATTAATAATTGTAGAAATAGGGTAATGATTGAAGAAAGATATAGGGTAATGATTGGAAAACAAAGTTAAAAAAAACTAAATAAGCTAACCGAACATAGCCAATAAGATTTGGCTTTGGTTTGTGCTATGAGAGAAATCGAGAGACAGAAAGAGTGACGATTGAGAAGAGAATTAGGTTCGTACCTTCCATGGATATTTTGGTGCAGAGCAATCGAGCAGCGATTAGGAGAAGTACTGGAGAATGTTTGAAGAGTGATCGTCGAACATCGAACGAAACCCTTTTGTTAGCGCTATGTTTGGGAATTTTGTGGGTAGAGATTTTATTTTGACTCATTTTTTTTAAGTACAAAACCCTTGTATGGACTGGGGCAAAAATAAATTTTACAATGGGGTTAAATTAATAAAAATGGGGTAAAAATTGTACTTATCCCTACGAAAATTTGGCAGCCAGTGGGGTCGGCCGCCCTCCCTTGTCCCCATGTGCCTCCGTCTCTAAACATGGGGTGGAGTTGCTGCCTCCACCTCCTTCACCTCCCCCTCTGGTCCTCGCCGGCCATCCCCACCTTCTATCCACCTCCATCTTCCATTCTCTCCCTAGTCTCCACTCCACAACTCCATTGAGGTTAGATATGATGATGTCGTGCAGTAAGGGTGGCTTGGCTTTTGCTCTTCCTAGCTCCAACGAATAACACTAATTTTGGCACAAAGCTTCCGGCGTCATAGACGATGGCCGGAGTTTTTTATCATTTTTTTTTTCTATTTTTTTCCCTCCCACGTGGAGATTTTTTCTTTCCCTTTATGGAACTATTCTCATCCCTTTGTGGGTGGGTAGTTGATTTCATTTGGTTTGCACTGAGTTTTCTTTAGGAACCCCCTACTACCATATTTTAGACTGGCCCTATATCTGAAATTATATTTTCGGCCATGCTTTGCAATATGTTACATTTGAGCTTTGCAATGTGTATATGTGCTCGTATCTAGATGGCCAATAATTTTGGTTCATTCATGTATTACATAGTGAAATCGCTTATACGTACCCTTTTGGCTTTGAAATGAAATTTCTGAAATTTACCATATTCCAAAAAAGGGGTTAAATTCCCGCTGTTTCAGTGGCTCGAACTCTCAACCTCACCCTCGGGACTCTAATCGAACGGTTGACGACAAGACTGAAGCCCAAAGTCATTAAATTCAATGCTTTGCATAAATGAAAATTTTGGTGTATGGTGCATTCACTCATAAATGTTGTGGTCTCGTATCAACATTTTGGTGTCGGCCCCCTATATAATTTGTGTGGCCTATATATCACTTTCCATTTCACCGACCTAACATATTGTTTAGGAATGAAAAATGACAAATTTCTCATTAACCCCAACCATTGTGGTAACATAACATAGAAAAATATAAATGTTATGTTACCATATTTTCTAGGTTTCAATATTATATACTATATTTCCTGTTTAGGCTAGGTTGATATTTGTGTTTTTTTTTTTGTTATGCGTACTTCCTTTATTAGAGAAAACTATGAGAGCCAAAAACATTCATGAGCGAGAGAAGCTATGATGGTAGAGATTGATTTGAGGTGAAATTTGAGTGCTCAGTGAACGACGGCGAGACTTAGGCTGCCTGCTGGAAAGCGAGTATCCCATAAGACCTAGACCTTATGGCACTGATACCATGTTAAGAAAAGAGAATTGACGAGAATTTTGTTTTCATTGATGTGTATTATTATAACCCTAACACGAATTTATTTATACACAACTTGGTAACCAAGAAACATAGACCAATAAAGGAAGTACACATAACAAGAAAACAAAAATATCAACCTAGCCTAAACAGGAAACATAATATTGAAACCTAGAAAACATGGTAACATAATATTTTAATTATGTTAACACATGATATGAGCCGTCATAAGAGACCCAAATTCCTTGCTAACCTAGGTTTTCGGTGCATCCTGGGTTGGTTTCATACTAACCTAGGTTTTGGATTTCGAGTGGGCAGATGATAGTTCTTAGCTTTGCTTAGGATTTGATGTCATCATCCCTTGTCCTTTTGATCTTTTTAACAAATTTCAAGGATTAATTAAAAAAAATCCGTTCAAACAAAAAAAAAAAGAAACCAAAATTCTAT